CACACTGGCTGACTTGCTCCCTGAAATACAACTGCTCTTTGATGTTCCACATTCTAGTTGCCTCCATATAGGAGTCTGAAACAGCACAGTACACACTAGGGAGTATGGGCTTGTTTTACTGTTCTCGGGGAGCTACTTTTTCTCCATTGATCTGACCTCATAGACTGATCTGGGAATAGAGATAATGCTATTTCCTCTCCTCACCACATTCATGCATTCACTCATGTATCTTTTACAAAGTATTCTGCCATCTGAGCTTTCCCACTTCCTAAACAAGGCTGGATGTAGGCTACTTCTATTTCCTCTTCAGTTTCCACTTTAGATTTATTATTGATGTTGCTCCTTCTTCCTAGTCCACTGTTCCTGGAACATTGTGCCTTGGGCCCTTTGCATGACTGCATTTGTCCTTTCCTTCAAATGTCAGTTTATATATCACTTCTCTTCTTGCTAATTCTTTTTAAAATAGACTGTTTCTTACAAACCCCTTATTCTCAATCTCAGATGTTTGTTTCCTTCACAATACTTGTTATCATTTGCAATAATACATTAACTGTACAATTACTTGTCTAAAATTTATCTCTCAGAAGTAGGCAGAATAATGTCCCCCAAAGATGTGCACATTCTAATTTTGAGAGTCTATGAATGTTATATTACATTACAAAGAGGAATTAAGGGTACAGATAGAATCAAGGTAGATAAAGTGTTCCCATGTAACTACTGGGCATTTATAAGAGAAGCATGAAAGGTGGTCAGAGTGATGTAAAGATTCAACTTGTTACTGCTAGATTTGAAGATGAAGGAGAGATCACAAGCCAAGGAATGCAGGCAGTCTGAGAATCTGGAAAAAGCAAGGAAGTGGACTCTCCCCTAAAACTTCTAAAAGGAATGTATCCTTGTTGATCATTTTTAGAATTTCAAAGTCCATTTCCAAGTCCTATCAGAGTTATAATAAAATAAATTTGTTTTAAAATATCAAGTTTATAATGATTTTATAATAACCAAGGAAAACTATTATAATTCCTCCATTACAGTATTATTTTTCTGAGCATAGGAACTCTGCCTGTTCTGCTCACCAGCAAGGCTCCAGTGCCTGGCACAGAGAGTAGAATTTCACTTAGTATTCATTGGTTTAGATAAATGAATAAAACGTGGGTATACCTTATACATTCTTCCTCAGTAATGTCCTTCAATATGGGGTGGATGGCATTTCATTTAAGGGGCTGAGCCCAAAGAAAGTCAACACCTCCCCAGATAGCATCCAATAGATAAGAGAATTTGCAAGTCTTGGAAACCTTTATCATTTATATCTCATTTATATATTTTGTAAAGGACTAACATGAATTATACATCAACTATGTTTTTATTCACACGTGAATGTATACATGTTCTCCCTCTATACACATACACACACACCCATACACATGCTTGCACACACAGATGTAGATTCCAATCTAAGAATCTTTCCTATAGCACCTAGTGTGTACAATATGTAATTCCAGGAGCTTGCTCATGTGTCATGTGTATCCATTTTCTCATGTTATACCATATTACCTCATTTACTTCTTGCTTTGGCAAGTTAAGAATTCCTAGTTGTACTGTGAAAAGGTTAAGAGACTATACAAGCACTGCCCCAGGCTACATAATCAACCAGTGATTAGAAGAGCTGGAATCCAAAGATCAAAGCCAGTGTTTTTGTTTAACTCTCATCTGCTTCCACTGCTCTCTTAAACACAGCTTGTATATTGGTCCTACAGACCCCATCCTAAGTGCTCTCTCTTCCCCTCACTGAAGTGATACATCCTTACTTTTAGCAACTATTTTTCCTCCATTTTCTTCCTAGTGAAAAGAAGCAGTAAGTTGAATAAAAAGGTCAGAATTTGTTTGGGTGCTCCACTTGGTAACAACTGGAAAGTATGATATTGAGTACTCTCTTCTCATCCACAGCCAGCCCTTCACATTTCCAGCTACATATCCTTCTTTAAAGGCTACCAAAGTGAGGCATAGTGTTGCATGCTTGAAATATCAACTACTTGAATAACTGAGACAGGAGGATCACTTGTAGCCAGGAGTTGAAAACTAGCCTGAGAAACATAACAAAACCCTCTCTCAAAACAAACTAAGTAAATGGAAAAGAATAAACACAATTGATTCTCTTCAACCTCACTAGTGTATTTATTACCTCTGTACACTCCTTATACTCACAAAAACTCAGTTGGCATTGAGTGCTTGTTAGGATGTAAGCACCTTCCTGAATACTGGATATGCGTAAGTATTTCTTTTAATTGTCTCAACAATTTAAACTGAAAAATGTCATTATTGTCTCTGTGATATAGAAAAGGAAGGTAAATCTGATAAAAAATAACTTTTCCAAGGACATTTGTACCTAAAGTTGGTAAGACATGAGCCCAAATGCTCTGACGCAAGGTTAACACCATTTGTTTAATTTTGTTTTCATTTTGGTGCTAGTTATTGAGCCCAGGGTCACATATATGCTAAACCTGCACTCTACCATTGAGCTATACTTCCCAGCCCCATCTCTTTAGTTACTATACTCCCTTGGTTATTCTGGATTCACACACACACACACACACACACACACACACACACACACACACGCTGCTCATTCACAAGGTACTTCTTTTGTTTTGGTTTGAACATTTGTGTTGCTTGAAAATTTCATGCTGAAATGTAAGCCCAATGCAGCAGTATTAGCCAGTGGGGCCTTTAGGAGGTGGTTACCTCATGGGAGCTCTCTCTTCATTAACAGGATTAGAGCCTGAGAGAAAGAGCTAGGTTCTTTTTGCCCATCACTTGCATCAGTTTGTGAGAACACAGCACTGAAGGTGCCATCTGCCTATCATTTGTTTGTATTCAGATTTTGGCGGTTGTTTTTTTGTTTTTTGTTTTTTGGGGTTTTTTTTGTTTTTTGTTTTTTTTTGGTGGTAGTGGTACTGTAGACTGAAACCAGGACATACATATTGAACTACATCCCCATCTCACCTTTTAAATTTTTTTGAGACTGGATCTCACTAAGTTACTAAATTGCCCTGGTTGAATTCAAATCTGTGATTTTCCTGAGTCAATCTCCTACTTCACAAGCATAGGCTACCACACCTGGAATTAAAGATGCCATCTTGCATACCAATAACATACCTCACAGAATTAGGGAAAAAAATCCTCAAATTCATTTGGAACTAGAAGAGAGCTAGAATAGCAAAAGCAATCCTTGGAAACAAAGGCAAAGCAGGGGGTATTATGATCCCTGACTGGAAGTCATACTACAAAGCTACTGTGATACAACAGCATGTTATTGGTAAAAACAAAACAAAACAAAAACAGTCCTGAGGTTCAGTGCAACAGATGAGAAGCTGCAGGAACAACTACAAATACTCTCACCCATCTTATCTTTGATAAAGGGACCAAATACATTCATTGGGAAAAAAATAGCCTCTTTAATGAATGATGCTGAAAAAATTGGCTTTACATATGCTGAAGATTAAAATTAGACCCAAGTCTCTTATCATGCACTAAAAGAGAATCAAAATAGATCAAAGATCTAAATATTAAAACAGAAACACTAAAGCTGCAGGAAAAATAGGATAGTTAGAACCCTTGAAGACATAAGTATAGGCAGAGACTTTATGAACAAAACTCCAATTTCACAGAAAATGCTACAAAGAAAAAACAACTGCCATCTTATTTCATTAAAAACTTTTATACAGGAAAAAAAAAACTAACAATGAAGTTAAAAGACAATCCATAGTGGGAAAATTTTTTTTTCCAACTGTTCCTTAGACAGAGGACTAATATCTAGAATACATAAAGGAACTAAAAAAATCAGAATATCCCAAATTTCAAGACCCTATTTAAAAATGGGTATCTGAAATAAATACTTTTCAGATAAAAAGTAAAAATGACAAATACATATATATATAAAATGTTGAACATCACTAGTCATTCAAGAGATGCAAACTGAAAAAAAAGCAGTGAGATTCATTCCACTACAGAAAGAATGGCTATCATCAAGAAATCCAGCGATACGTTGATAACCTTGTACTCTGTTTTACATCATGTGCTATGTCTATCCTTGGTTTTGACTGACAGCTTTGTTTTGCCAAATTTGGCTTTATTCTCTCCCAAAAAAAGTAATAAGAACTAAGGACTAATAAAACCCAAAATGTGTAAATTTTGTTGTAAAAAAGAGCTCTAAAGGATACAACAGCAAGTGTGTTTAGGGATGTTAAATGGCTGACCATATTAATGTTTTTGGTTGGATCATTGAACACAACTGTTTGCAGTCTCACTGTTTGAATGTCCACTTTGTATGCTTTGATACTGTGATTTGAGCAACTATCTCTAAGATGATAATATGTAATCTATTAACTGGTGATTTCTTACTGTTTTTTTTTTTTTTTTTTTGTAGTTCTGTATTACTTGTACCCTTACACTGCTTTGTTTTGTTTTGTTTTTTCTCTTGTTCCTTTTAAATAAAATTAAAAAAAAAAAGAAATCCAGCGATAACAAATGCTGGTGAGACTGTGAGGGAAAATGAACCCCTCTCCATTGCTAGTGAAAGTGTAGACTAGTTCAACCACAGTGAAAAGCAGTGTGAAGACTCCTCAAATAAATTGAAACTAGAGGTTCAGTCTGACCCAGCTATTCCACTACGTGATATTTTCCCAAAAGAACTAAAAGCATCATACCATAGCAACACATGCATACCCATGTTTATAGCAGCACAGTTTGTAATAGCTAAATCTTAAAACTAGCCCAAATGCTCATCAGTGGATGAATGCATAAAGAAGATGTGGGTTTTAAGAATATATATCAATCATAAAGAGGATAAGCTTGAGACATTTCTAGGTAAATGGATGCACCTCAAAGCCATACCCTTTTTTATTTTAAAAAGAATAAACCAAGGAAAATAAAACAGAATAAACCAACCAAAAATAAACCAGTATAAGTGATACAGGGCTTCAACCAACTATACTTACCATTAATGCCTTTTGTTGTCTTCAAAATAGGTGCAGATAATTTCAGCTGCAGATAATAGAAACAATAAAGCCAAAACAGTTAATGCAATAAAGGACTTCAAAACAAGCCATTAGTAAATCAAAAATTGCTACCATAATATGTCTTGCTTTCTTTTAAATAGCTTCTCCTGCCATCAGATTTACCATAATCAAACAAAACAAAAGAGAATAAAACTCAACCCCCTCAAAACAGTGTAGTGAAAATGATGTTTTTTTTGCCTGCATTGTTTCTTGGTGAGGCCTGGATCTCTCCCCTCATACAGTCTGGGAATGGTACTGACTTGCCAAGAGAAGTTTGGGCATGACTGCACCCACTCTGGGAGCAGCTGGAGCATGCCATTACTTTCCAGGTGAGGTCCCTGGTTCTCTCCCTCTGAAGTCAAAACCATACTCATAAGTGAAATAAATCGGACACACCTGTGTAAATATTGCATTGTTGTGTGGTGTGAGGAACTAAGAGCGTTAATAAGGACTAAAATATATAATAGATTTTGAGAGGAGGGAAGAAAACATTCAAATGGGAAGGGGAATTAGAGGGGAAGAGGAAAGGAAGGAAAGGGAAAGAAAAATAAGGAATAGAAGGAAAAATGGTAATGGTAACAAAGCTTTTGTAACTACGAAGAGAGGCTGAATGGAGGGTAGGAGATTGAAGATAAAAAGAAGAATCAAGATATATTATGTACAGGTACCAATTCCTTATGATGAGTGAGACAGACAGACAGACAGACAGACAGACAGACAGAGGCTGAGAGAGAGAGAGAGAGAAGACAGAGAGAGAATTGACAATTGGTGGTCAACCTGTAACAACCAGTTGAACTGAATCAACAGCATCATGCTAGGTACAAATGGCCTACCTGTGGGTTGTTACCAACTGTCATGGTTACTTTTCTTTCACTGCTGAGACAAAATACCTGACACCCAAAATTAAGGAAGGAAAGGTTTATTTAGCTCATTGTTTATGGATGTTTGAATCCATAATCAGCTGACTCCAAGATAAGTATGCTGCAGTACAGGAACAACAGCTCATGGTGGCAGCAGATACCAAAAGCCACAAGAGCAAAGGAGGCATAAGAGAGGAGCACAGAAAGAAGACTCTGTCCCTTATATTGCATGTAGGTTATATCCACACTAGGGTGAGGGTAGTACTCACACTCATAATCCCAGCATCGGGCCATGAATCAATCAGAAATTTTAGAAGCCTGCCCCCGTGACTGTATGAGGCTTTGGGGGGACATCCAGACACAAATTATAACACCACTTGAATTTTGTTGGCGTGATTTTTTAAAAAATTCTCTATAAGTTCTAGATAGAGAAGCCTTTTGTTTGAGGGACAGTTGGTCAAGATATTTTCCCAATTTGTGAGTTTTCTTCCACTGTCTTGGAGATTTCTTCTCACATGCAAAACTTCTTAATAACATGAGATCCCAGTTGTTGATTCTAGGAAATATTTCCCATGCAGTTTGATTTTTGTTCATGAACTCTCCACCTACCCTTATGTCAGCAAGCTTTCTATCTACATTGTCTTCCAGCAGATTTAATGTTTCTGTTTTAATATTTAGATTTTTGATCCATTTTGATTTAGTTTAGTGTACAGTGTTAGATATGGATCTAACTTTAGTTTTCAGCATATGGAAAGCCAGCTTTTTCAGCACCACTTATTGAAAAGGCTACCTTTCTTCCAGAGTACATTTGGCTTCTTTATAAAAGATGAGGTGGCTGAGTGTGTTTGTAGTGTGGTTGTATCTTCTAATCTATTCCATTGATCTTCACGTCTGATTTTATTCCAGGAGCATGCTTCTTTTATTACAGTAAGTTTATAACAAAATTTCAAGTTTGCGATTGTGATACTTTGTGCATTACCTTTGTTGTCCAAAATTGCCTTTTCTATATGATCTTGTCTGGTTTCTGAATTTTAGGGACAATTTCCCCAGATCTGTGAAGTATGCAAATGACAATTTGACATGATATCTGGCATTATATCTGTATAACAATTTTGGGTGAATGGCCATTTTCACAATGTTTGTTCTTTCTATCCATGAACAGGGAATGTCTTTGCATTTTCTGAAATCCTCTTCGATTTCCTTTTTCAGAGTAATGTAATTTTTAATGCTTAGATCTTTTACTTCCTCTGTTAAATTGTTCCTAAGTATTTCATTTTTGGGGAGGTGCTATATTGAAGAGTGTGGTTTCACTCATCTCTCAGTGAGTTTGATTTTGAATACAAGAATGCTATTGATTTTTAAGTCTTTACCTTGTATCCATCTACACTGCTAAATTTGGATATTACATCTAGAATTTGAATTTCATGTCATCTATAAATAATGATAATATAACTTCTTCCCTTCTTATTCTTATTCTTTTTATTTCACTCTCTTATCTAGTTTCTCAGGATATTACATCCAGAACTACTTTGAATAGGGGTGGTGATAATCGACATCCTTGTCTTGTTCCTGATTTTAGGTTGAAAGTTTTCAATTTTTGTTCATTTAATAAGATGTTGGTTGTTGATTTATCATTTGTGGGTTTTATCACATTGAGGTACAGGCTATTTTTTCTGATTTTCTATAGGGTTCTTTTTAATCCTGAATGAGTGTTGGATTTTGTTCACAGGTTTTTCTGCATCTATTGAGATGATCATGTGATTCTTATCCTTGTCTCTGTTGATATGATGTATTAGCTTTATTGATTTGTGTATGTTGGACCACTCCTGCATTCCTGGGATGAGTCCAACTTGATCATGTATGATTTTCTTGATGACTTGCTGCATTCTATTTGCCAATATTTTATTAAGGATTTTTGCATCTGTGTTCATTAGAGAGATTGGCCTGTAATTTTCTTTTTTGGCTGGTGTTTCTCCAGTTTTTGATATTAGAGTAATATTTGTTTCCAGGAATGAGTTAGGGAGATTTGCTTCCATTTTAATTTCATTGAAGAGTTTGAAGAGTGTTGGCATTAAGTCTTCCCCAAATTTCTTGTAGAATTCAGCAGTGAATCTATCAGGACTTAGACTTTTCTTTGATGGTAATATTCTACTTACATTTTCAATTTTATTAACTGAAATTGGGTTATTCAGAAGTTTTACATCTTCTTGATTCAGTTTTGGTAACTCATATGTTTCTAGGAATCTGTCCATTTCTTCTGTGTTACTGAACTATGAAATTAAAGATTTTTGAAGTAAATATTGGTGATCTTCTGCATTTCCACAGTGTCTGTAGTAGTTTCACACTTTTCACTTCTTATTGCATAGATTTGAGTTTTTTCTTTCTCCTGTTTGATGAAGTTGGAGAGGGGTTTATCAATTTTATTTATTCTTTCAAAGAACCAACTCTTTAATTCATTAATTCTTTGTGTTGATTTCTTACTTTCAATTGCATTAATTTCTGCTCTGATTTTATGACTTCCTTCCTTTTTTGGGCTTTGGGTTTGACTCGCTCTTCTTTTTCTAGAAGTTTGAGGTTCAGCATAAGGTTGTTTATTTGTGTTCATTCTATTTTCCTGATGGGAATTAAGTGCTATAAATTTCCCTCTGAGGACTGCTTTTGTGGCTCCCCACAGGTTCTAGTAATTTGTATTTGCATTTTCATTCAATTGTAGATTTTTTTTTGTCTTTTTTCCTTTTTATCGGTACCGGGGATCGAACTCACAACTGCCTGCTTGCAATGCAGGCGCTTATGCTGCTGAGCTAAATCCCCAGCCCCTGAGCTAAATCCCCAGCCCCGTAGATATTTTTTAATTTTGTGTTTTATTTCTTCTGTGATTCATTAGTTGTTTAGGGGATTTAATTTCCAGGTGTTTATGGGGTTCTTGTGGGGTTTTAGTCATTAATTTCCAATATTATTACACTATGGTCAGATAATATGCACGGAATTATTTCAATTCCTTTGTATTTACTTAAGCATGCTCTGTGGGCTAGTATATGATCTATTTTAGAGAATGACACATGTGCAGCTAAGAAAAATGTATATTCTGATGTTGTTGAGTGGAACACCTGGTACACACCTCTAAGTCCATTTGTTCATAAGTTTGATTCAATTATGTTATTTATTTGCTGATTTTTTGTTTAGTTGATCAGTCTCTTTGTGACAATGGGATGGTAAGTTCCTCTGTTTTAACTGTATTATTGCTCATTGAAATTTTCAGGTCTATCAAGATTTGTCTTACATAGTTGGGTGCTTTCATATTTGGTGCATATATATTTATGATTGTAATCTCTTCCTTTTTAAGTTTTCCCCTAACAAGTATGTAATGACCTTCTTTATCTATTTTGATCATTCTTGGTTTGAAGTTCACATTGTCTGCAAACAGAATAACCACCCCTGATCTTTTCTGGGTTCCTGTTGCATGGAGTATGGTTTTCCACTCTTTGAATTTTTTCTCTGAATTTCATTTTGAATTAAATGTGTTTCTTGTATACATAGTACTGTTGGATTTTGTTTCTTAATCCACTCTGCCAGTCTGTTTCTTTTTCTTGGTGAGTTGATGGCATTAACATTGATGGAAATAACTTATATGTACTGACTTATTCCTATCATGTTACCATTCTGTTGTTGGTTTCCTACTTTTCCTGTTTAACTGTTTGCTCTGCTTAGTGGTTTCTTTGTACTGTTGTTCTTTGTCTCTTTCTAGTGTGTCTTTCAGTACTCTTTCTAGAATGTCTTTCTGTACTCTTTGCAGTGTTGGTTTGGTGATCATAAATTTCTTTATTTGTTCTTTGTCAGGGAAGTATCTCGTTTCTCCATCAATTTTCAAAGGTACTTTTGCAAGGTACATTAAACTGGGGTGAAAGTTGTTTTATTTCAAGACCTGAAGTACTTCACCCTAAGCTCTTCTTGACTTGAAGGCTTGTGTTGAGAAATGTGCTGTGATTCTGACAGGCTTTCCTTCATACTTGATTTGTTTCTTTTCTCTGATAGATTTTAGTATTCTATTCTTGTGCTGAATTTCTGATAACTCAATTATTTTATGTCTGGGTGAAGATTTGTTTTGGTTATGGTTAACTGGGTTTCT